TCATCAGCTTCACATTCAACCATTCATATAGCTTGTTTCATTACATTGATTATTATCCCCTCCATATATCATCAGTTAACAGTGTTTCTCTCTATCCTCTTTAGCTTTTTTTTTGGGGGGGTGGGGGTGGGGGGGTAAACTTCATATATTCTTTTTGAAAATTACAAGCATGTGAGCCACGTTATTCACTCAATGGAGATTATCATTATAGAAATGAAGAAATGTGGTTGCATTTTGATGTTTTCTACTCTATAATATAGTTTTGTTTCCTTATTTTTTAACAAGTTTCTTTTTTGACCTATTGAGTGGTGCTATATATTTATTTTGTTGCATATTGATGAAGGGACTAAAACAGTAATGCTTGAACTCAGGTCTTCAGGAAGAAACTAGATACAGTTCCTGAGTTTTAAAGAAGTGCTTGGTAAACTCATAAAGCACTGCCAGGTCCTGGCTTTTAAGAAAGCAAAATGGAGTTGCTTGACTATGGCTTTTACTGAGCACATAAAAAGTATGGGACATTACAATTTGCATTTGTCTCTGAGACTGAGGCATGCACTGCAAATTAAAAGACATCCTATGAACCTTGCATCAATTAGGATGAAATACAGTTTATTTCAGCAATCTGCTTAGCAGCCTTGTTAATGTCAAGGCTAATGAATGCTGCTGATGAGTAAATTCCTGAAGAAGAAAGGACCCTCAATCGGAGGTAAGCTCATGATGCCATCAATTAGAGACCAGAAAAAGAAAGGGCAAAAATTTTCTATGCATATGAAGATAAATCCTCCAATTTATGTTTGTTATAATATTATTGGCTGCCTTTTTTTTCTGACTAGGGTCATAATATTTATGGGTTTGATCTGGAAGTGCTACTGCAGAGAATTAATGTGTGCAAAGTTCCTCACTGGTCCAAGATAGGTCGACTGAAGCGATCCAACATGCCAAAGCTTGGGGTAATAATTTTCAAAATCTTATTTCTTCTTTATTTGTTTTTTTTTCACAGTGAGCAGTTACCAGAGCCCACAGTCTGCTTTTCTGAATGGGAATTAGTTATCTTGTAGTAGGTCTTCGGGACATCTTCACTTGGTCACTAAACATCTTGAAATGGCCAGACCTCAAGGAGCATGGTTCGAACCTGCCAGCCGCTTTCTGAGAGAAAGCTGAGGCTTTCTGCTCCCACGAAGATTTAAATCCATGGTCGCTATGAGTCAGAACTGACTCCATGGCACTTAACAACAAGAACAACAAGCCATTTTTTCTTTTGAATCCAACCTTTCATTGTAAGATCAGCTGTTAGAATTTAGGAATGGTGAGCCAGAGATACCACATGTAGCTTCTATGTTGTGTTTCTGAGGTGACTGCCCTTAAAGCTGGGGCCCAGGGTTCAGAAATCCTTGAGTACTGACATTCAGGAAGAAAGGAAAAAATAGAAGGGAGCTGCTATTGAATGTCTTAAGAAGGCAAGGGGCTAAGTGATTTATGTATTAGGTACTCCTTACAACCCTTCTCCCCATTTTTTTTTAAACAGACGTTCTCACATGGGTATATAACACATTCAAGATCGTGTCACTGGTACGGGGAAGAACTGGAATTTGATGCCAGGCCTGTCTGACTTTACACACTCATGTTCTTTATATGCCACCAGCTTGTTTCAGATAGAGGTTTTAGTGGTTTTTTTGTTTTGTTTTGTTTTTTTAAATTTTTTTTCAGGAAGTGCCCAAAGCTGACACTTCTCAATGCTTGAAATTGCATTACCCTTAAAGCTTATAAATAAAATGGGCAGCTTGCCTCATCTGAGAACTGTTTTGGCCTAAGTCCATAATCTGGACATGACTATGAATGTGTTCCCATTTCTGAAATGTGCCACAATACCTCCAATTTGTCAGCGTCTTTTGATTTTTATGTAAAATGTTCTGTGCAGAAGAGTCTACCTGGAAAATACTTTCTTTTGAAAGTCGTGTATTTCTTCTTCATGCCACAGTTGTCATAATGATGATTTGAAAGCTGTTTCCTTCCCAACCCATTTGATTCAAGCATCAAGTTTCCCCAATCTTACTTGCTTCCTGTTAGGTTACCGTAACACATTATGCCTTCTCATTTTCTTCTTGCCTAGTTGTCTGCACCCCCAGGGCATAGTAAAACAGTGGTTAGAGGTTCCGATTTTGGAGTCATTGAGGCCTGGACTTGATTCCAGGTCTTCCACTTCTAGCTGTATGGTCTCATGGTCTCAGCGAAATTACTTTACCCTTCTTTGTCTTAGTTTGTGTGTCTGTAAAATGGAGATAACTCCTTCGTTGCAGAATAGTTGAAATGATTATGTGAGACAAATCTATGTAAGGTAATTTGACACAGTGCTTAGAACACTGAACATATAATCTATAAATGCTTTTTGTATCATTTTTCTTTTCAGCATTGTTGAAAACAAAAAAAGTGGGGGACTTTCCTGCATATGTTTCCTACTATTAACTGGAACTTGTTAAATATTTTGGTCACCGTTACTGAGTTTGGTGAATTTTAGGAAAGCCGGATTAGTTTAATATTAGAAAACATTTATTTGTGACCTTGTTGCTACCTCAAATAAAATTTTTGTTATACATGATGAAAAGTTTATATAATGCACCATTTAGTCCTAAATTTGGAGTCCTGGTGTGGTACTGCAGGCTAATGCACTGGACCGCAAGGTTGGCAATCAACTGGACCACAAGGCAAACTCAATCAACCTCTCCTTGGAAACCCTCTCCAGGATCACTATGAGGCTAAACTAACTGGATGGTACTTAGTAACAACAAAAGACCAAATTTACAAAATGCAAAAAGCACCCTAAAAGCTAGAAAGAAATGGAGAATTTCCCAGTATTATAAAGGTCCATTGTAAATGAGCAACACCGAACAGTGAAATATGAGTGTCATTTCCATAAAAACTTGGAATAAATCTAGATTTCCTGTTACCACTAATTTGAACATTATTCTGGAAATTTGGCCAGTGTAGTAGAAACATGAAACAGAATTAAAAGGGAGTGCTATTGGAAAAGCAGGAACAGAGTTATCAGTATTTGCAGATACTGGTAGTGCGAAACTACCAGCGGTTCCACGGGAGAAAGATGAGGCCGTCTGCTCCCGTAAAGATTTACAGCCTTGGAAACCCTATGTAGGGTCACTATGAGTCGGAACTGACTCCAAGGTACTTAACAACAACAACATCATGAAACTTTACTAAAACTGTTATAAGGAATTTGCCAAATTGGTTAGATGGCTTTATTCCATGTCAAAAGTAATTTGAGAAGATGCCATGAAAAAGATCCTTTAAGAAGGTATCATGGAAAAGATTCCCAGGGCAGATATGTGGGAAGGTAGAGTTTGGTAATTAGAGTTTGGGGTGATTAGTAATTATGTAATCTATGGTAATTAGTCCATAAAAAAAATCTCTGATTGTTGATTTGATTGTGGGAGAGGGAATAAAATTCACAAACCAGTCATCAACTGTGGGCCATGCAGCTGTCTAAATGCTGGTTGTATACAGTGTCAAAAACTCACTTCCACAGGGTTAACTTAGTGGTTAGCAATATAGACTGCAGGACCAGACTGCCTGGGTTCGCACTGCTACTAACCATCCGGTTTTTCTTTCTGTAAAATGGTGATAAGAAGAGTACCTACCTCCTAGGGGTTGACTGGATTTAACACATTGGAGCACTGTTCCTCAAATTATCTGGTGAACCAAACCAAACTAAACCAGACCCATTGCCATTGATTCGATTCTGTCTCATTAGAACACAGTCGCACAGAGTAGAATTGTGCCTTCGGATTTCTGAAACTAACTCTATGAGAGCAGACAGTCTCATCTTTCTTCTGCAGAGCAGTTGATCATGTGATTGGTTGTATGTCGGCTACGCCAAATTGTTTAAAGTGTCTGAACCCTTATTCTCAAAATCTGTACCTACTTCAGACTGTTGTTGTTTAGTGCCATTGAGTCGGTTCCGACTCATAGTGACCCTGTATAGAATTTCCAAGGCTTTGCATCTTTGCGGGACCAGAAAGCCTCATCTTTCTCCTGAAGAATGGTTGGTGGGCTTGAGCTACCGAACTTGTGGTTCATAGCCTAGTGCTTATTATACAGAGCCACTTTGTTCCCCATACTTACCTCGTTGTTAAGTGCTGTTGAGTCGATTCTGACTCATAGTGACCCTGTATAGGGTTTTCATGGAGTAGCTGGTGGGTTTGAACTGCTGACTGCAGCTAATAGTCCAGTGCTGCTTATCCTATAGTACCACACCAGGTAGACCAATAAAGACTTCACAGACTGGACCCACTAATTGACTAACTAGGATCCACCTGTGGACCTCACCTGTTGTAGCCCTGCTCAGTCTGGTTGCTCTTGGGAAGCTTTTGACAGTATATTCCCTGTTTCTACCCAGACTCTTCAGGGTGGGTGTCTTAGGAATCTGTACCTTTTGTTATGCTCTCCAGAGGGTTCAGCTGCTGCTCTGGCTTCCTTTCCTACTCACATGTTTACGGGGGTAAAATTCTTACTAACACTTCATCAGACAGTTGCTCAGATAACTACTTATTCCCTTCAGAGCTTTTTTTATATGCCTTCTATTGTGTGAGGCCTCCTTGGCCACCCAATTGAAAATGGCAGACCCTCCAGATTTGCTGCCCCCCTTGGAAAAAGAAAAAAAGTACAACCATCCCCTTTCCCATCTTTTTATCACTACAGATACTATGATTTCTTGTTTGCAATCTCAATACGTCACAAAGGAAGTCATATCAGAAGTCTTTTTCGATTTTGCTCACTGCTATCCAGTATCCTGGGTCTTAGGAGCAGTGTTAGAAATATTTGATGAGTGAATAAATGGATGAATAAAAGTGTTATGATTGTAACTTTTAGGCTAGCTTCAGATGTCAGTGGAGTGCTCTCATGTCTGCTCGTTCATTGGATTTGCCCTTGGTTCCCCGTTGTAGGGCCGGAGTGGTTTTGGTGAAAGAAATGCTACCTGTGGCCGAATGATCTGTGATGTGGAAATTTCAGCAAAGGAATTGATTCATTGTAAAAGCTACCATTTGTCTGAACTGGTCCAGCAGATTCTGAAGATGGAAAGGGTTGTAATCCCAGTGGAAAATGTGCAGGATGCATACAGGTATGATACTGAGTGCTTTGGAATTTGTGTGTCTTGAAATTAGCAACAGTCAGAAGCCAGTACCATCCCTAGACTGGAGGGCTGGTGTGGATGGGGTGCTGCCGGGAGGAGAAATTTTTCCATTCTTACCATCTCCGTTACCTTGATAATTTAAACTTTTTAGCCTCTTTAATTACCTCCATCTCCCTCACCGATCTTAGCATGATCTCGTTATTTCCTAAGAGCACTTTGGAAATGGTTATGACATGTAGTAGACATGTAGTACATCTTTACTGGCTGGAAGGGATACAGGGATTTAGGTAGTTTTCAGATATGTAGTTGCCATGGAACTGCATTTTATCTTTTTGGTATTTTTTTGTGGATGCATTTTAGAGAAGGGCTTTGGGATCAGTGGTATAAATAAATTCCTGGCTACCTATTGGTTTTATTTTAAGTTGTTTCTAAAGCAGGGATGTTATTACCCTAAAGTGACTTATACCCAGAATTCTTGTAGTATTTTCATGAAGTTCTGATTATAGTCATTGTTTCTTCTAATGACTTGACTCTGTTTCATTCTGACTTTTCTGTCCAGTGACTCTTCTCATCTTCTGAACCTGTTGGAACACACCTGGAAAGATGCCAGGTTTATTCTGCAGCTCATGTGTGAGCTCAATGTTCTGCCATTAGCATTGCAGATCACTAACATCGCTGGGAACATTATGGTAAATTTAACTTAGAAAGGGGGAAAAAGCATTTCCTGTTGGATTCAAGTGTTTACTTGGGGTAGTTGTTATATGATAATGAGTTTAAATGCATGCTTATAAAATGAGTAACTTGTATTCTGAAAGCTGGGCTTCTTTTGTAAAAGGAAGAACTGGGAGAAGGGGAGGAATGCCAGGTGCAGTATGTTGAAATTTGGGTGAACGTTAGGATCATCTTTCTAAACATCTGGATGTGTCTGTTTTGTGGAGTGGTCCATTTGGGAATAAAGAAATAGCCAAGTTGTCAATATTTGAAGCTCTCTTTGCCTGTCTTGCAACTATAATGCTTAAACTGTTAGAAATAATTCAGTATCTTTTTCTTTAGATACAGCTCTTGTTATTAGGAATAGTTTTGATAAAACTTACCAACTCAGACTTGCTTTTACTTATTGTGGTTATGAGCTCACAATTTAAAAAGAAATTCTATTTACTAGTCCAGGACGCTGATGGGTGGACGATCCGAGCGTAATGAGTTCTTGTTGCTCCATGCATTTTATGAAAACAACTATATTGTGCCTGACAAGCAGATTTTCAGAAAGCCTCAGCAAAAACTGGTGGGTCCAAAATTGTATCTTGCCTTTTCTTATCTCCCCCTTCCTCTCCTTTTTATTACTTAGATAGCTTTTCTTTGCTGTGATAACATCTGCTTCCAAAATAATGAATCCCTTGTGTACTGTAGAAATGGTTTCAAGTTTATTCATTGTGGTCATTCCCTTCTCCACATCTCTCTCTGAAATATTGTGAAATATGAACATTTTTGAGGGAGACATTAGGACTCTGTGATGAATGACCATACTTGTACATGGCCAAGTGTTTTGCCACCTTAACCCTATTCAGAAATAAATGCCAGTTACCCCCTAATTCCTTAAGTCTGTGGATACTCCCTAATTCCTTAAGTCTATGGATCCAAGCCTTTTTTATTGCATTGCGTTTTTATGTACTAGTATGATCACAGTCACCACAATCATGTTTCAAATTAGCCTCTATCATGTTGGAATGAGAATTTATTTTAGCTACTGTTTTACCAGCACAAATAGTAATGGGCACAGAGTGGGAATTTAATGTTAAAATGTGATTCAGATTCTTGTATGAGCAGGCTTCAAAAAGTTCATGGAGTCATTTCTGATTCATAGTGACCCTGTATTGGGTTTCCAAGGAGCGGCTAGAGGGTTTGAATTACGGACCTTGTGGTTAGCAGTTCAGTGCTTATCCTACAGTTCCATACCAGGACTCCAACATTGATATAGAAAATACTAATTTCGAGGAATTCAACTGCTGCTGAGGTATTGGCCAGTAATAAACTGCTTGGGAACGAAATTCCGATATGTAGCTAGATGGATTTTAAGCAATCTGTATTAATATAGAAGTTCTGGTAGTGTAGTGGTAGGAGTCGGGCTGCTAATCACACGGCCAGCAGTTCAAAACTCCCACGGTCCGCGGGAGAAAGATGAGGCTGTTTTGCTTCTGTAAAGATTTATAGCCTCAGAAATTCTATGCAGTGACACTATATTAATAATGATACTACTGAGGAAATACCTATGTGGAATATTTTGTACATCATTATTGTAAAAGCAGTTAATTTAAGAGGACTTTTTTGTAGTCTCAGATTTCATTCAGTATGAAAAGTTGTATTTTTAGTATCAATTGGTTACAAACTATGAAAGGTTTCTATGAATTCAGAGATTTAAGATAGAATTTGCCTAATGTTTATCTGGACATCAGAACATCACCATATGTACAAACTTGGGCAAAAAAGAAAATAACTGAGGTACAGAAATATCTTCAGGTAACTCCCATGCTTGACATTCATTTAGATTAATGAACACATTATAATAACTTTTTCCCATAGGTAGGGACACTAACTAAAATTAAATTATGTTTGTTAGAGTTTATCTTCTGAAGTTGGAAAAGAGGGAGTCCTGAAACTTCTTAATTAGTTTATTAGTTGCTGACTGGTAAAGTTATCTCTCCATTTGATATTAGGGAGATGAAGACGAAGAAATTGATGGAGATGCTGGTAAATTCAAGAAAGGACGTAAGAAAGCAGCTTATGCTGGTGGCTTAGTATTGGACCCCAAAGTTGGTAAGGCTGGCAGCAGATAGCTTTCTCCCTGGTATTAATGGATTTCTTAGCATAGAGCTGGGTTAGAGAAGCTAGGTGACCTGAATTGTCTTACAGGTTAGCAAAATGATTTTATAATAACCTTATTTTGTCTATTGTTGTGAAAATCATGTTTGCCAGTCCCCTGACATGGAATTAATGTGAATTTCATCAAGTAACTTGAACTCAGAGTAGGAAACATTTTTTGACCTAGAGCTATTTTCATTTTGTAATGAAATGTAGCAGTAGTACTTGGTTGTTAGATAAACCGAGTTTGAATTCTGACTGTGATTTTGGGCTGCCTTTGTAGCTTCTGTTAGCCTCAGTTTCCTCATGGAGATGACAGTGATACCACAGAGGGAGTTAAGAACTAAAAATAGTTGTTTAATGTAGTGTTGGGCACAAAGTAACATATCAATATATGTTTGCTGCTGTCATTGTTGTCTTAGTCATGGACATTTACTTTTATTCAGTGTCTTCTCAAGGTGAAGATAACTCTTTTTAAATGTCCTAGAGAAATATAGTAGTTTTCTGTTCACCCTTTGCAAGTAAAAAGGGTGGATCGTTCCACTACTGACATTGCTATATATTTATATAAGGACAGGAGTCCTGGTGTGGTGCTGTAGGTTAATGCACTGGACTGCAAAGTCGCTTCGAACCTCAGGGTCGGCAGTTCAAGCTCACCAGTTGCTCCTCGGAAACCCTATACAGTGTCGCTATGGTTTGGAAACGACTCGACACCACTTAATAACAACAATAACATATAAAGGCAAGGTCGGTTTGAGTTGCAAGGTCAATGGTTCAGACTCATCAGCTGCTCCTCTGAAAACATAGGATCACTATAAGTTGGAATCGACTCAACAGTACATACATATGTGTAGTCTCATTTTTAGCATAGTTTGTGTATAGGTGAATGCTAACCTTTTCAATTCTTTGAAGAAATGACTGTGAAGGAAAAAATGTGTTACTATTCACTGGTAAGAATGACAACATTTTGGGCTGGGAGAGGAAGAGTAAGTAGAAGGGAATGCCTCCTTGAAGGAGAACATTTGAAATGTGGGAAGGTATGATGATATGCTTTGGGAGCTGCTGAAGAGAGGATTGGTTGTAGCTGGTTCCAAGGCAAGGCACGATCTTACCTACTACCGATTACGTTCTGCTTTTGTGGCCTGGGTTTTCATCTTAATCCAAATTACTTTCTAGAATGGTTGTTGTTAAGTGCTGTCGATTCCCACCTAAGACGACCCTGTATAGGGTTTCCAAGGAGCGGCTGGTGAGTTTGAACCACCTATCTTGCTGTTTGAACTGACTTTGCAGTCCAGTGCATTAACCCACAGCGCCACACCCGGATTCTTTATAGAGTGGTGGTGGTGGTGATGTGCCGTGGAGTTGGTTCTGATTCATAGTGACCCTGCACAGGGTTACTGAGGCTGTACATCTTTATGGGCGCAGAAAGCCTCATTTTTCTCCCGCGGAACAGCTGGTAGTTTCGAACTGCTGACCCTGAGGTTAGCAGCCCGATTCATAACCACTATACTACCAGAGCTGCTTTATAGACTGGTAATAGACTCCCTCCCCCACCCTTGCCTTCCTTACAGCTGTAGATAGTTTCTAATGTACTTCATAGTACGTATATTTCTAATGTGATATTTTGACAAATCTGTACTTCTATAGGCTTTTTATGATATGTGGCTTTTTTATTTCAGGTTTTTATGATAAGTTCATTTTGCTTCTGGACTTCAACAGTTTATATCCTTCCATCATTCAGGAATTTAACATCTGCTTTACGACTGTGCAAAGAGTGGCTTCAGAGGCACAGAAAATTACAGAGGTGTGTACTCAACTGGGGCTCTTTAAATTGAGGTTAAAAGTAGTGCTTATAAAGGCAGAGAGCCAAGGGAGCTAGCTTTCTAGTATTTCCTCTTAAGGACACATTCAATCATGTCCTTTCTGAATGGTCCAAAAAAAGGGAAGGGTTGGGTAGCAGGCAGACTGGTTCTGTGCCTTGTTTTGATTTGACGTTTATATTGAGATATAATTCACATACCGTCCAATTCTCCCATTTAAATTCAGTGGATTTTAGTATATTCATAGAATTTGCAGTCATCACCACAGTCAATCAATTTTAGAACAGTTTCATCACTCCAAAAGAAATCCCCTGGACTTTAGCCATTATCTCAGCCCTCATTCTTCCTTTACCTCCACCTCTAGTCAACTACTAATCTACTTTCTGTCTTTAAAGATTTGTCTGTTCTGGACATTATATAGAAATAAAAGTATACAGTATGCGGCCTTTTGCTTCTGCCGTATTTCCCTTAGCATACTGTTTTCAAAGCTCATTTACACTGTAGTACATGTCAGTATTTCTTTCCTTTTTATTGCTAAATAATATGGCATTGTATGGATATACGTTATTTTATTTATTTTAGAATTGGCTTGCCAAGTTCTACAAAAATGTCAGGACATGACATGTCTTTCCATTTATTTAGGTCTTCTTTCATTTCTTTTAACTATGTTTTGTAGTTCTTTTATGTATAAGTCTTGTACTTCTTTTATTAAAATTAATTCTATTTATATAATTTTTGATATTATTATAAATCAAATTGTTTTCTAAATTTCACATTTTGGATTGTTCCTTGCTAATGTATAGAAATATAACCAATATTTTGTATATTGATCGTGTATCCTACAAACGTGCTGGATTTATTAGTTCTAATAGTTTGTGTGTGTGTGTGTGTGTTAAGTCCCGTGGAGTCAGTACTAACTTACAGCAACCCTATACAGGGTTTCTGAGGAGTGTCTGGTGGGTTTGAACCACTTACCTTGTGGTTAGCACTCCAGTGCTTATCCTACAGTGCCACACCAACACCATGTTATCTGCAGATGGATATAGTATTACTACTTCACTTTCCATCTAGATTCAGGCAGTCCCTGAGTTACAGTTGTCTGATGTACTGACAATTCGTACTTGCCCTTTAGTGTTATGGAAAATTTCCCTCACTGAAACGTTGTAACCAACCCTTACTGACAACAATTTTTTCATCACAGTCACCTTCACTTGCTGTACCTGCATCTTTGAAATCACTGGAAAGGCTTCATGCTTTCATTGCTCTTGGGAGTGAATTTTCGGGTTTGCCTAGAAAATTTTTAACTTGATAAAAAACTATAATTTGTTTTCCAAAGTAGTTTTCCACAGTACACTCCACCACGTATGAGAGTTCAAGTTGCTTCTTTTATTCTCTAACATTTGATATTTTCAATTTAGCCATGCAACTTTAGAAATCAATTTTATAATGACCTGATTTGGATTTTAATCTAACCAATGATCGATCATACAGTCAACAGTTTTGCATAAAGTTTAATGATTTAATGGATGGCGTTATAGGATAAGTACTCCACCACAAGGTCGGTTTGAACTGCAATGTGAGTGATTCAAATTTGCCAGCCGATTCTCGGAAACCCCATACAGGATCACTATGTTGTCAGAACCTAATCAACAGCGCTTAGCAGTAACTTTATTAATAAAGCTTATGCAATTGATGGTCACTAGGGAATTTGATTTAAGTTGTGTCTCCAGTGGTAAAAGATTTAAGCGAACTCTAACTTATTTTTATCTGATATTTGTATACATGGCAAGGATGTTTCTTTGTCTCATGGCTCCTTGATTTGCATGTGCTTTAGTTACAACCAAGGAGCCCTGTTGGCACAGTGGGTTAAACACTGGAGTGGTAACCCAACAGATCTGGCCCTTGCCTTCACCATCCTCTTTGCCGGCCTCGGACACCCTGTGGAGCAGTTCTAGCCTGTCCTGTTCTGTTGCTGTGAGGTGGAATCAGCCACATGCTTGGGAGCTGTTTTCCAGTCCCAGTTCTGCATTCTAAGAAGAGACAATCTGATAGGCTAGTGTAGATCCCATTCATTATCCTATCAACTGTGACCAGAGTAGTAGATTCACGCATATGGCTGCAATGGGACTTTTCTGTGGGACTAGAGCATATTTTTACAAAGAAGGTGCTGGGTATGCGCCCCCAAAAGGTATGACAGCATTTGATTATATTCTCTGGGCTCTGTCCTCCTTGCTATGTTAGCTTTGTGATAATTATTATTCAACCTCCCTCCTCTTCCCACATTTTGTTCATTTGAGCTTTCCTATTTGGATTCTGGATAAATACAGAAACCATTGTAGAGGTTTGAAGGAAGTACTATCCATAAGTACTTTATAGGTTCTGTACTGGACTGCAGGCTCATTGGACCTGTAAGACTGGCAGTTCAAATTTGCAAGCCACTCCTTGGAAACCCTATACAGCATCACTATGAGTCAAAACTGACTCACACAGCACTTAAGAATACCTCATTGGTCTTCAGCAAAGCTACCATCACATGATTAATGATAGTCAAGCTGGGAGAGGATTGTAAATTTCCTGACTTCACATCCTGTCAGTTTACTTTGTATCTGATTTCTGTGGTTGCTGAAAATCATTGGAATGTGTACCAAGATCTCTTCAATAGGCTTGTTCTTATCATCTGCTATACTGTTGATCTTTATCAACTCAGACACAGGAGCTAGCTGCTATCTGAAAGTAGAGCATTCCTATGAAACCTTTAGTAAGTTGAAATGGCATAAAGAAATCACCATGAATTTTTACAGGACAAAGTTTTGAGCATTCCTGGCACTGCAGGATAAGCACTAGACTAAACCACAAGGTCAGTGGTTTGAGCCCAACAGCTGCTCTGCAGGAGAAAGATTTACGGCCTCAGAAAACCCTATACAGGGTCACTATGAGTTTGAGCCCACTTGACTCCACTTAACAACAACATGCCCCCCAAAATAACTTACCACTCCAAGGGAACACACAAGTAGGCTTTTAAGCTCGCCAGCCATGTTTGTCTAATTGTGAATGGAAGTAATGGGAAAAGGCAGCAATGAAGATATGGGCTGAGTTTGACCTTGTTTGATAGACTTCTGTCAACCTAGAGATGAGAGAGAGAGGAAGGGCTGGTTGATCTGAAGTTTGGGGAGACTTGGGAACTCCAGATCCCATGGACACTGACCTAGCCACTGGGGGGTTAGAGCTGAGAGTGAAACGTCCAGCTGATATGAAGTGGGGGGAGACGCACAAGAATTCCCAAACTTGCAGATAGTACCCATTGACCTAGCCTTGATGGTTTCATGATGAGAACTTGACTAGAGGAAGATAAAGAAGTTTGATACAGGAAGCAAATGTAAATTGTTGTAATTTGATGAACTTGACCTTTACATATGGATGTAGTTGCTCAAAATAACAATCAAGAGGGAAGGAGTCTTCACATTAAGGATCAAGCCTATCCCTTTAGTACACAGGGTTGATAGGGACAGGCAGCTTAGACATTGGCTAAATAAAATGGGAGGAGGGGGGCTAAATAGGCAGGAAGTGGCTGGCTGACAAGTTTTCAAGAGGGAGTTTAGTTTGAGAGCGGGGGGAGGCGGGGAGGAGGTAGAATCACCACAAAATAGTTTTCATCTTGTCTAGATGGGTCTGGTGAAAGGAGATGGGGATAAGATTCTTTTGATTCAATATTGAGTAATTGTTACCATGCCTAACTGTGATTATCACAACTGTAAAGATAGAAGTTTTGCAACTAAAAGGGGGGAGTAGTTAATGTTATATTCCAGGAACACGGGCCCCTAGGACCTTCAGGAGGGAAGAGCGTGAGCGGAACGTGGGATCCTAACCAGAGAAGCAACACCAGAAATGAGGCAGAGATGAGAGCATGGAGAGAGAGAGCAGCTGAGGACTCTAGACTCATGGAAAGAGAAAGGCCGTGTGCTGGTGGCCAGGAGGCAGGCTTGCAGAATGTGCCCTTTGGTTGTTTAAATGATTCTATATTCCTGAGTGTTTTTGTGTACATCAGATAAAAAAAAAGAAAGAAAGAAGGCATAGAGGCAAATACTATTAACTGGTAGTGCATGGAGGAGATTGTGATCATTGCAGTGAAAATACGATTGGTTGAATGCAAAACCAGTGTTCCTCCATGTAACTATCACTCAATTCACAATAAAAGCTTCAGGAAAAAAAAAAAGTAACCTACCAAATAACACATAGTACCTGAAATAGCACGAACATGTATAAGAGGTGTTCACAGATACAGTTCAGAGCTGTGACAGCTTGGTGCTGAGACGCTGAGGGTGGAGTTCCTGGGGAAGGAACTTGGCACTGCCACTCTCACTGCTCTGGGTGCACGCTGCCTCTTTAATTGCTGTCTGCAAACAAAACCAAATGCTACTTTTGCTATTCAAGGTTTTTTTTTTTCTGTAAAAGTGAAAATTCTATTTAAATGTTTTACAGTTAGTATAAACAGATACTAATGTATAGTTTTTGTAAAAGCAAAGTGGTGGAAACTTCGGAGAAAATGGGGGATACTTGTACTTTGTAAAGGCTAGGTTAGAAAAGGGCATTGACTTGACATACTCTAAACCAAGGGGGTTATTTTGAATTCAGAACCTTTGAAAGGGCAAATGTGCCTGACTTTCTTTGTAGCCTGTTAATGGAGGCTTGAGAAAAATGGTCTAATGCTTTCCTTGCTTTTTCCTGTAGTACATTTTCATGTAAGAAGGACTGCTGGTTGCTGTTCTAAAACGTTGTTATTCTTCTACCGATTGCAAAGCAATTTACAGATAAAAGGAGTATATATGTATTAATTTTTTTTTAATGTCGTGACCTACTTAAATATGTACTCCAAATTCTTAAAAGAAATTTGCTGATTTGGTATTTAGTTGTTTTATTTTGTAGTATAACACAGTTACAGTAATTGCTATGATTCTGCATAGTTATAAAATTCTATAGTATTTTGTTTGGCAGTGCACATGATGTAAAGCAGTAGTTTAGCTGTTTTATTTTGTTTCATTTTTTTCTTTTAAGCCCTAGGGATTTCTCTTAGTGTTTGATTTAAAAAACAGTTTTTCCAAACATGTTGCTCCCCAATCTGGTTGAGAGCTGATGGTATCATGTGTATAAATTCATTTCTTTGAACAATATTGACGTTTATGAATAGCTACAGGGGTGGACTGCAGGTATCAAGACTGAGAGACTGAAGGGCTTGGTAGACCAGACTTTTCTGCAACCCTCTCAGGTCCTTGTAGACCACCAATGCATTGGCTACAGAAAGGAGCTTTTCAAAAGGAGCCCTAGTGGCATAGTAGTTAAGCACTCAGCTGCTGATCCAAAGATCAGTGGTTCAAACTCACTAGCTGCTCTGAGGGAGACTAGACCCGGTTATCCATTCCTGTAAATATTATGGCTGAGGAACCCTTAGGGGGCAGATGGACTCTGTCCTGTAGCGTCACTGTGAGTCGGAATCGACTTAGTGGCCCGCAACAACTGCAGCTTTGCCAGATGTGGTCATGGGATATTGTTGTTGTTAAGTACCAACTCATAGTGACCCTATGTGGGGTTTCCAAGGAGCAGCTGGTGGGTTTGCAGTTAGTCCAGTGCTTATTTTATAGTGCCACACCAGGACTCCAATCATGGGGAAAGGTACCTATAAACATTATTTTAGAAATTGATTTCTCAAAAATTTAATTTGTTTTTCATTTCTATTGTATCAGGATGGAGAACAAGAACAGATTCCTGAGCTGCCCGATGCAAGCTTAGAAATGGGCATTTTACCCAAAGAGATCCGGAAACTAGTAGAAAGGAGAAAGCAAGTCAAACAGCTCATGAAACTTCCAGATTTAAATCCAGACCTTTTTCTTCAGGTATATCTTTACACCAAGAGATATTTGAGTGACACCCTCAGTTTTTAGGATTTGATTGTTTAATGCTGTGGGAAAATGCATGTACTTATTTTAAGTTTGTGGGTAGGTAATGATTACAGAACAGTAGAATGCCTTTTGAGTGGAAGGTAGCCGTGTCTAAGCAAGATCTGCTGAATCCTGTGAGCTTTGGAGACTGTTTACTTGCTTGTAGAAGGTCTGGGAAGATGGCTTGAGTATGTTAAGAATTTTATGTCTTAAGGGAGATTGAGGGGTTCTCCCTCTTGGTTGTAAACTTGCAAGGCACCTAATGTAATACTTAACCTCTTTGCAAATATTGTTTTTCTTTTGTCTTTGTGGAACCTGCAGTATGACATTCGACAGAAGGCTCTTAAGCTCACGGCGAACAGTATGTACGGCTGCTTGGGATTTTCCTACAGCAGATTTTACGCCAAACCATTGGCTGCTTTGGTGACATACAAAGGAAGGGAGGTAAATTCACATCTCTGAAAAGGAGAATTCAGTGGGCCCTCTAGTTCTGCAGGTTTCCGGGGATCAAAAGTATTCTGGGATGTGGATATGCAATTAGGTGGTCAAAGCAGTCCTTCAAAGGCTAAGAGGGAGCATAAAGTGCTTTTTTCATGGTATTTGTTTTGTATTGGGTATTATAAGTAATTTAGAGATGATTTAAAGTGTACTGGAAGGTGTGTAAGTAATATGCAAACACTCTGCTATTTTCTGTAAGGGACTTGAGCGTTCATTTCTGGATGTTAGTACTCTTGGGGGGTCTAATCCCCTGTGATGGTAGTGAGGAGTATGACTGCATTTTAAATTAAACCTGTTGTAGTAAAAGAGAGCGAACTTTGTTACCTTGACTGTGCAAAGCTAGTTATGTACTTTGAAATACACTTTTTTAGAGTAAGTTTGAGACTAATAGGCATTTTATTCAGTCTCTCATCCATTGTGTATGTGTGCTTACTGAACATGTATTACATGGCAGACATTGTTCTGTGTCCAGCAAAACAAAAGGTCCCTACTATCACGAGGCTTACATTCTATATGGTGGTTGGGGGATTGATTGTGTGTTGGGAAAACAGACCACAAATAAGTGAATAAAGAAAGAAAGAAAAAACGACTAAGATAATAATGATAGAAGTAAATGCACTGCATGTAGATAATTAAAACTGGGTGGTGGACTAGAGAATGTGTAGATGACTCAGATTGAACAGGGAAGGATGCTCTGAGGAGGTTACATAAAGTAAGTAGTTTTATATGTTGTTCAGGAAGATCAAGTTAGTCATAAAGATGAGCAGTGAGAAGGCCTTGATGGCAGTGAGAAGCCAGTGAACAGTTGCTACCCCGCAGAGATAGGCATTTCACTGCTTCTTAGGATAAAGGATTGAAGGGGGCAAGAATCAAGTGGGTAGCCAGTTAGTTACATGTCTAAATCTAGAATGCTAGAACTATGTAAGGATTGAATTTACAGATTGAATCATTGACTTTAGAAAGATGGGTCAGATACCAAACAGACTTGGTATTGTCACTTTATGAGTACTATAAATAAACTTCATCCACTTTAGTATTATGTGCATGGGTTTTTCTTTATAAAAGAATAGTTATGTTAAGTATTAAATTCCATTTTAATCCAATGAACTATTGTTTCCTGTCAATATTAATGAATCTTAAAGAAGGTAGTGGTTATGGGCAGAATACTAATGTTGGCAGTCTGGTGGTTTTGTGGTGTTGAGTTGGTTCCAACTCACAGCGACCCTGTATAGGGTTTCCAAGGCCATGCGTCTTTATGGAAACAGAAAGCCTCATCTTTCTCCTGTGGAGATCCTGGTGGATTTGAAGTGCTGACCTTATGAATGGTTAGCAGCCCAGTGTGTAACCCACTACACTACTATGGCCTCTGGGCCATCTATTTTTGTAAGCAAAGTTTTATTGGAACATAGCCATGCTCACTAGTTGATAGATTGTCATGGTTGCTTTTGCATGACAGTAGCAAAGTTGTGTAGTCATGATGGAAATATGTATGGTCTGCAAAGGCGAGTGTATTTATTATCTGGCCCCTTTTAGAAAAAAGTTTACTGACCTTTGCGTTAGGGCCCTTGTCTAGGGCCCAGTAGAACTGTGTACAGCGAGGAGAATGTTCTCTGTCTGCACTAGCCAATAAAGTAGTCTCTAGCTACCTTGGCACAGTGGCAGCAAAATGGGCTCAAACAAAACACAATTTTGAGGATGACACAAGAATGGGCTTTGTTTTGTTCTGTTGTGCATAAAGTCACTATGAGTCGGAGTCAACTCAACAGCACCTAACAACAACAGCCACATGTAGCTTGTTATTGTTGTTCCTAAGTGCTCTCTAGTCAATTCTGACTCATAATAACCATGTACAGGGTTTCCGAGGAGCAGTTGGTGGGTTTGAACCCCCAACCTTGTGGTTCTCAGTGCAGTGCTTATCGTACAGCACTACATCAGGAGTCCACTTGTTTGAGCACATAATACCTGACTAGTGCAACTGAGGAATTGAAGTTTTCATTTTATTTAATTATAATTAATACAAATCTAGATGACTAGTGGCCACTGCATTAGACAGTGCATTTCGAGTTGGTTTAAGACGAACATCAGGATGGTCAGTCACTCTTCAGTTGGCAGATCTATTGCACGGCCATGGGCAAAACCTGTATTGCATGTCTGGGATATGCTAGAAGCTTTCAAGCGTATTATTTCATCAAAACCTCAACAACATTCCTTTGATTTAGATAAGAACATTCCATTTTGCAGATGAGACAGTTAAGACTCAGAGGTGAAGTATGATAACTGACTGTTTTGAATCTGAATCCATTTCTTACTGATTCAAAGGGTTTTTGTTTGGGTGGTGGTGGTGTTGTCTTCCATATTTCAGGATGTCTTTCATAACAGTGGTCTTGCTGTATATTTGATCTCTCATTCCTGGAAGATACTTTTCGAGACTCAGGCCTTTTAAGATGAGAAGATACCGGTGTTTTAGGGGCTAGTTCAAATGAGGGAAGGATGTTTTTCATTTCTTAGGCTAAGTTTACTTCAGAATTATTTAAATTTTGTTTCTGTATGTGTATCCAGTGGCTCCTGATAGAATACCATCTTATTTTTGTATTAGGAAATGCACTCACTATGCCCCAACTGGGTGATAATACACGGGTTGACTATTGAGATTGGATCAAGGTTACTCTTAAGTTTCTCACGAGCGGCAATAGTTGACAATTTACTCCCTTGGAGAGTGCCTCTTGCTGTTGGGAAATCCCTGTTGTTACATTTTCTGCATTGGCTCAGAAATCCACAAGCTTAAAAGGGCACTGTTGATAATGATAAGCCCCAAATTTGTCCAATGATCTCCCCACTCCCCTAATCCATTGTATTTTAAGGGCAGCCTTTTCATTTAGCTGGATTTTTAATAGGAACTTTAAACTCTTTTTATTTTTCTGCTGTATAAAACGTAACAATAACAAATCTTTAATAAAGAAAGTAGTAAGGAAACCCTTGCTCTCCCCATTAAAAAGCAAAGAATTCCCAACAAATCTAGAAATAATTCTTACGATTCATCTTGGCTTCTACTTTCTACTTTTCTCTTTCCACTATGCCCTTTCTGGAAACAAATAATGAAAAAAAAAGAATCAGTGGGAAGTAGGTAACATTTTGAGGCTACTGAGCAATACTAATTATGCAATTGTTCTCTGGAAATTTTATAATAGAAGAAGATCCAAAGTCATCTATGGAAATAATATAAATATGATTGTGAATTTTTTTGGTGATTATTAGCACTGGAGGGCAGGCTTATTCTGTGTGATCATCTGTCTGTGGGTTTACTAGTATTTTCCATATAGATTGCTAAGCGATTGTGATTTCAGCATCTCTTGATTATTAAAGGAGTTTGAGGAGACAAGTGTAAATGGAGTCAGTTTGCTGAGATTTTGAAATACCTGTGAAACGTGTGAAACTGGTTTTGATTTGTGTGTGTGTGTGCAGTACAGAGCGGACAAAATAATAACAAAACCTGAAGATCTTAGAAGTTGTTTGTTTTTAAAGTCCTTGTAGGATAAATGAAATTAAGGTTTAAGTGGAAATTAATGAGAAAGAAATGTGGTAGCATGGCATAGCAAGAGATTTAGACATTTTGCATTTGAATATGGATTAATACAGTCTGGGAAGGTCTTGAAACCTTCACTCCCCTTTTCTGTATGTGCTCAGTTTTACTGGAAATGATGTAGGCTTGACTCTGATGACCTAATGATTTCTGTAATCAAATGTATTATGACTGCTAAAGTACTTGCAGTAATTACTAATTGTACTTTTCAAAACAGGTTTATAGCAGCAGTGCCAATAGTTGTGTCAAATGGACATCAATATTGTCTTTGTACAGGTGTGCTCTTTCACACTTAAACTCGTCTATGATTTTAAACTGCTGGGTGGTAAAGAAAGTAGTTACTGGTTCAGTAAAAGTAATAGGAATCTCTCCGAGTGTGTGAATTACTTAAAAACGATGAAGTCAGTGTTTCCGGAGAAGTAAATGTTGGCGCTTCATTTACAGGCACTTAGAAGTGAAGCTGTACAGATATCATCTGTATTTGTGTATGTTCTCAATCCATGTGTAAACCAGTGACATAAAAAAGAAACTGGGCAAGCCTACAGCACCAACTGGAGTTAGGAGTACAGTTTTAAGCCGTAAATAAAACATTGTCAGTTGTTGTGACTAGTGCGGTAATTGAAGTGATTGTTCACTAGATGGCGATATATACCCTGAGATCATTAATCAATTAAGGATTTTATCAAGTAAACAATAGTGAAGGCCATTTACTGACTTAACTCTGTCAAAATTTTAGACTTACTAATTTTGAAACTGTTGAAGAAAGGGTGACACTGGCTTAAAGGGTTGTAAAAGTCTGGTTTACTTAGTGCTTAAAATAGTGATAGTTTTTGAATCAAAACTGTTATTGATAAGAACAATCATTTAATTCATCATAGTCAGCCACATTTTTATATTACATGACTATATTTCATACCTGTGACCATGCAGCCACAATAGATAACTCCTTCTGCCACAGTAGCAGAGAGGTTAATCCAAAGAGAATTAGAAATGATTTTGATAAGACAATTTTATCTTTGTGAATTTACCTTTCTACTGAGGCAGCTTAAACTTGCTTAAATTTTAATGTAATGGTAATATTTATCGTCATAGAATAATTAAGGCTTACTGATACTGGTATGGTTTTATTTCTACAGTCTGTTATTTCTGTGCCCTTGAAAAATGATGTTTGGTCAGGAATTCTCATTGCATTTCAAAGTTAATGTGTGCTTGAGTGTAGAGCCCCTGTACGTTTTGATTTTTTCATTCTGTTGACTGATGACAACCAGTTGTAGACTGCCTAACTTTCAGAGTGTGTTCAGAGCTGAAAACTGTGCACTGAGACAAACATACAGTCTGGACACACCTTCTGGGGCTTACTTGGCTC